AATATTTCCTTTGTGTGATTTTATTTAAACCAAGAGAACAAAACTTAGCCAGAATTAGCCCTAAAAACAGTCCAAAAAAAAGAATATATTATGCTTTCTAGATAATACACTCCCTTTCCTCTGAGCAATCAAGGCCTTTCTCAAGATCCCAATATGTCTTCCCTTTCACCCGAGGAGGTGAGGGCTCTTCCATGATACAGCTTCCTTCCCCTTGACAGCCAGGTGCTCCAAAATCAGTCACCCATGTACATCCTACATCTCTGATATCAGCCCCAGATTTGGTATCAACTTTCAATTTTCTCACAAGAAGCAGCCTACAGTAATTAGAAAGGACATTGAATTTGGAAGATTTGGTTTCTAATCCACTTTAAAATGTTATATAAATGCTAGCTATTATTACCCATGTGACTTTGGACAAATCACTTTTCTGGGTCTGTCATTGTAAAGTGAAAGGATTGAACTCCATGATCTCTTCCAGCTCTACACTCTTTTTTCCCAAGACTGTCATGCAAACAGAATCTGGCCTCCCCAAGTGCTTTTTCCTTTCCTCACCTCCAGGTTTAGACTCAGAAGGTTCTTCTGCCTAATAGCCCTATGGGCTAGATCAATGGTGAATATTTAATTAAGCTGTCTTTGGTGAAGAAATGTAAGCTACAAATCCTACGTTCTTCTTAAACAATGACCAAGAAAGTGAAGAATTATTCTTCTACCCAAGAACTCATTTTTTCATCATCATCAACATCATCAAAATAATATCTAATATATATGTAGTACTCTAAGGTTTATAAAGCCCTTTACGTATATTATCTCATCTGATCCATGAGAGATAGGTGTCATTACCTACTTTATACAGAAGAGGAAACTGAGGCCGAGCCCAGGGTCACAGTGTCTAAGCAGAATTCAAAATGATTATCCAGAATATAAATCCAATGCTCTGTCCACTCCATCACCTACCTTTGCATGGGGCATGAGGCACAATGTAAGTGTCTCTAACTACAGGAATTATAGATTTTTCTTTCGTTAGTAAGATAGATATTTGAAATGGAAGAATATAAGACTGTGGTCTTTCACATCATAATTAGAGGTTTACAGATTCAACTTTAAAGGGGCTATATGTACCACATTAAAAAGATTAAACCAGTAGTCTCTGTACACCGTCACTAGGGATTAATGGCACCTGACCAAGAAATGGTACATTGGCAATATCACTTCCTTATCCTTGGATGTTATGTCTTTCTTAATGCAGTCCAAAGTCACATTATAATTTTCTTGGCTACTATATCATAATTTTAGCTTATATTGGCCTTACAGTCTTCTGAAAACCACATTACTTCTTCAGGCAAACTGCTATCTTGCCCTTTCTTCCTCCATCTCCTACCTGGGAAGTTGATTTTTTGACCCTCAGTATCACATTACATTTACCCTTATTAGTTCATGTTTTTATTAATTTTTAATTTGGCCCAATGTTTTAGCCTGTGAAAAGTTTTTTGGATCTTGATGCTTTAAGCTAGTGATTTAAGCATCCATCCCAACTCTGGTTTATATTTAGGTTTGAAAATATACCTTTGGAGTAAGGGCAAGAACTCACATGAGCTCTCCCCCAAACCCCTCCAAATATCTTTTAAAAAATGACTCCAAACAAATTCTAGAGCACCAGAACACACAAAAAGAGTAAAACAAATTCCTAGCCCAAGACAACCTGAAGGTCAAGAGGAAAGGTCTGTTGCACCGGGCTGCAAGAGGAGTGCAGTCCACACCAGCACAGACTAAGCCCCAGCAAACCCAGAGCAGGCCTAAGGGGACTGAATCATGGGCAGCTGTGGTGGTTTCCAGACTTCTCAACCCACAATCACTGAAGACAACTTAGAAGGTCCGTGGGAAAAGTCTGTCAGACCTGGGTGAGAGAGGAACAAAGTCTAACCCTGGCCTCCAGCACAGCCCTGGGGCAGTGGCAGCAGTGGTGGCCAGCAATGGCTGCTTTCAGAGTTCTCAGCCAATAGATGGTAAGGGAATTGAACAACTGATCAGAAGGAGATAATAGAGATCTCTTTGCTGGCACTGAGGCAGGATTCTGTTGCTTTGCCCATACTTGGATCTGGGACACAGTCCTGGGTGGCAGTCTTGGAGTGAGAAGAAGCACTGGCATAGCAGAACTTGTGGCAGTAGTAGAGAGGGAACCCTCCTCACAGTTCAAGGGCAGAAAAGAGTGCTTGTGGTCACTCACTGACCGGAACATAGGTCAGGAGAGGAGTAAGCATCTCCCCTTAGATTACCTTGGAAGAACTGAAAATTTATAGGTCCCTTCAAGTATCTCTGAAAACAGCTGCACAAAATCCCTCAAACTTGGGACAGTTCGCCCCCAACACTGGAAGTAGAGCCCTACCTTAAAAAAAAGAGTTAAAAAGTCAAGTAATTGGCTGGGGAAATGAGCAAACAGCAGAAAAAAATTCAGACTATAGAATCTTACTTTGAGGATGAGGAAGAACAAAACATGCAATCAGAAGAAGTCAACAAAGTCAAAGCTCCTACATCCAAAGCCTCCAAGAAAAATATGAATTGGTCTCAGGCCATGGAAGAGCTCAAAAAAGATTTTGAAAATCAAGTAAGAGAAGTAAAGGAAAAATTGGGAAGAGAAATGAGAGTGATGCAAGAAAATCATGAAAAATGAGTCAACAGCTTGCTAAAGGAGACCCAAAGAAAATAACACCTTAAGAAATAGACTAGACCAAATGGCAAAAGAGGTCCAAAAAGCCAATGAAGAGAGGAATGTCTTAAAAAGCAGAATCAGCCAAATGGAAAAGGAGGTCCAAAAGCTCACTGAAGAAAATAATTCCTAAAAAATTAGAATGGAGCAAAAAGAAGCTAATGACTCTATGAGAAACCATGAAATTACAAAATAAAACCAAAAGAATGAAACAATTGAAAACAATGTGAAATATATCATTGGAAAAATAATTGACCTGGAAAATAGATCCAGGAGAGATCATTTAAAAATTATTAGACTACCTAAAAGCTACAATCAAAAAAAGAGCCTAGACATCATTTTTCAAAAAATTATCAAGGAAAACTACCCTGATATTCTAGAACCAGAGGGTAAAATGGAAATTAAAAGAATCCATCAATCACCTCCTGAAAGAGATCCAAAAAGGAAAACTCCCAGGAATATTATAGCCAAATTCCAGAGTTCCCAGGTCAAAGAGAAAATACTGCAAGCAGCCAGAAAGAAACAATTCAAGTATTATGGAACCACAATCAGGATAGCACAAGATGTAGCAGCTTCTACATTAAGGGACTGGAGGTCTTGGAATATGATATTCTGGATGTCAAGGGAGATAGGAGTAAAACCAAGAATCACCTACCCAGAAAAACTGAATTTAATCCATGAAGGGAAAAAACTGATATTCAATGAGGTAGAGGAATTTAATGCATTCTTGAGAAAAGACCAGAGCTAAATAGAAATTGACTTTCAAATACAAGACTCAAGAGAAACATGAAAAGGTAAACAGGAAAGAGAAATCCTAAGGGACTTATTAAAGGTAAACTGTTTACATTCCGACATGAAAAGATGATATTTGTAACTCATAAGATCTTTCTCATTATTAGCGTAGCTAGAAGGAGTACAAATAGGCAGAGGGCACAGTTGAATATGAAGGAATGATATCTAAAAAATAAAATTAAGGGGTGAGAAAGGAATGTACTAGGAGAAAGAGAAAGGGAGAAGTGGAATTGGGAAAATTATATCCCATAAAAGTGGCAAGAAAAAGCTTTTGCAGTGCAGGGGAAGGAGGGAGAGGTAAGAGGGAATGAGTGAACCTTACTCTCATCAGAATTGGCTTAACAAGGGAATAACATACACACTCAATTGGGTATAGAAATCTATCTCACCCTGTATGAAAGTAGGGGGGAAGGGAATAAGAGAAGAGAGAGTGATAGAAGGGAGGAGAGATTGGGGAGGGGACAATCAGAAGCAAACACTTTTGAGGAGGGACTGAGTAAAAGGAAAGAATAGAATAACCGGGGCGGGGGGGTGGGGACAGGATAGGATGGAGGAAAATATAGTTAGTCTTTCACAACATGACTATTATGGAAGTGTTTTACATGACAACAAATGTACAACCTATATTGAATTGCTTGCCTTCTCAATGGGGGTGGGGAGGAAGGGAGGAAGGAAGAGAATTTGGAACTTAAAATTTTAAAAACAAATGTTAAAAATTGTTTTTTACATGTAACGAGAAAAAATAAAATACCAAATTTAAAAAAAAAAAGAAAACATGTCAACTATACCTGTATCCAAGCCAATGATAAAGATATTAAATAGCACAAGGTTCAGCACAGATCTCTGGGGCACTCCATGAGGGACCTCATTCCAAATAAACATTGACTTATTAATGACTACTCTTTGGGTCCTGACATTAAACCAGATTTGAGTCTATTTAATTATACTATCACCTAAACCAAATCTCTCCATCACCCCCCACACAAAAAATAGCATACTCATAGAATATCCTGACTAATATCTATGTAAACTACACCATTCCTTTAATCTATCAGTTGAATAACCTTGTCACTAAAGGAAGATAGGTTTTCATCAGGTATGATCTGTTCTTTTTTCTTATTTTTTAGTTTTCAACATTCACTTTTATAAGATTTTGAGTTCCAAATTTTCCCCCTTCCTCCCCTTCCCACTCCACAAGATGACATACAATCTGATATAAGCTATACATGTACAATCATGTTAAACATATTTCTACATTAGTCATGTTGTGAAAGAACCAGTACCAAAGGGAAAAAGACAGAGAATAGTATGCTTTGATCTGCATTCAAACTCCATAGATCTTTTCTCCGGATATGGATGGTATGATCTGTTGTTGCTGAAGTCATGTTAGATCTTTGTTATCATTGCTTCCTTTTCAAGATATTCACTAACCACCTCTTTCATAATACATTCTAGGATGTTTTCCAGGAATCAAAATCAAACTCACGATCATAATGTCTCTTACCTTTCTTGAAACTGAAAACTTTGTCCTTCTTTAATTCTGTGTTACCTCACCCATTCTGCATGATATTTCAAAGACCACTGAGAGTGACTCACTCATTACATCTTCCAGCACCGGAGAATGGACGAGGAGACTTGAATTAATTGATGGCAGCTAGACGTTCTCTTACTATCTCCTTATTTGGGTATCAACTCCCTATTACATATGTTAATTTCATCTATTATAGTCCACAAATTTTTCTCCTTAGCAGAGAAAACTAGTAAATAAGACCTAAGTAGCTCTGTCTTCTTTCTTATCGGTCCTCCCTCACCTTCTCAAAGAATCCTTACCTTCCTTCACATCATACCTCAGATGCCACCTTTTGCAGGATCCCTTCTCTACCTCCCTACTAACCTCTCCCCACACCCCAAAACTAATTTTTATTTGTTCTGTATATATTTACATATGCTTATTTGTTGTTTCTTCCCAGGATGTAAGTTCTGTGAAGGCTAGGACTGTTTCAAGTTTGTCTTTGTATTCCCAGAAGCTAGCATAGTACATGGCACATAGTAGTCACTCAGTGTTGTCGAATTGAATTTTTCTATTGAATTGAATTTTCATAGCATCCTTTTATGATTAATTTTTCTCTTTGTGTTATCGTCACTTTATTTCTGATTTCCCCATTTTTCAAGGACTGAATTCCCCTACAGAATTTTAGTCAAGGTTTCTTATCTATTCTTCTGAAGCATTTAAAATCTATTCTTTCAAAATCAAAGGTGGTTGACAGGCTTCATTCTCTCCCCCTATAACTAACTCCAAGATGAGTGGTTTCTTCCGTCTAAGGTCCTATCATTTCTATCTGAGCAACCAGTTCCTTCATCTTGGTGAGAATCAGATTCAGAATGGAATTTTGATTTCTCTGTCTTTTGAAGGAAGAAATCATAATCAAGGTCAGAAATGATAAGCTGCTCTGTCTGGCAGAGGCAATGTGCATACAAGATCTCTCTCCAGAAATTGAATTTCTCCCATCCGGCCTCTGTATCAGTCTTATCATCTGTTTCTCCAACAATCTTCTCTTTCTGTTCAGATATTCTGTAGAAATGATAATAGCACTTCTGCCGCTGTTGATCTTCGCCCAAATGACCTCCATTTTGCTTCCCCTCTCTTGGGGAATCTGTTCCTAGATTTCTTCATATTAATATATCTCATTAACCTGTGATGCTATCCCTTCCCTATCTGTTCCTTTCCTGTTTGCTTTGAATAAGGGATATATTTACAGAGGTATTTTTAGTCATAGATCTTACAACACCAAACTCAGTGATAACTATTAACTCAAATTTATCTCATTGTGTTAAGGCATTTGTTTCATCTTGCTCACTGCCTTGATTTTGTACACTTAAGGTCATGGGTTCTAACAGTATCTTTCAATTCCTAAGTGCTGCAAACCTCTTCATCTTGCATTGTGACATTCTCATAGTCATCGGCGGTATTTTTCAGTATTCTTTCTAGCAACGTCTTTTGTAACCACATGAATCACCAGAAGTGGGTAGTAGTCATATTTTTTTTAATCTTAGAAAAGTCTCTGTCATATCTTAAATATATGTTGACAGAGTGGCTATTCTGCCTCTAGTACAATGGATCATTCAGAGCCAGAAGATGTAAATAAATTCTTTATTAAAATCGGATTCCAATACTCTTTAGATAGAAGCAATTCTTCAGTTGGTTTTAAAGCAGTACAAAGAATAAAAACAAATACACGTTAGGCAAGGTTAAAAAGCCATCATCCAGAAAGTTCCCTGGGATCTTAGGAACTCTCTGCCTAAGTCTCAAAAAGTACCTTTGTAGTAATCTTGCCTGAAGGCTCCAAAGCCTGGTTCCAAATTAATTCACCATGGGGCAGAGCTAAACCCAATTGCCTCCATGTTTGCACCACAATTTATTTGCTTGCAATAGCCTCAGCTGGTGTTGGGGAAGGGGAGCTAACTCAGACCTCACTAGTTCCACCAGCATCCTGGACCACAACACATGCCTTAGGAAAAGAGCAGGTATTGCTACTATTCTCGAGTTAATAAGTACCTGCCTCTGTACCTCTCTGCAAGAAGTGACCATCTCCTACTACTCTTTTCTTCTTCCTCTGAGCCTTATCGCACGACCTTTCACCTGACAGCACGGTTAATGTATGAAAAGGTAAGTGCCAAGCACTTTCACCTGACAGCATGGTTAATGTATGGAAAAGTAAGTGCCAAGCACCATGCTAAGCACTGGGGATACAGAAAGCTACAGATGTACTTTATCATTCATTGCAATATGAGAAGCTGCTTCCTCCAGAGCTCTAGCTCCCTCCTCTTTGGAAGAACTTCAGATTTATTTCTTAGCTCCAAGTGTTTGGGAGTTTTCCTATCTTCCTCCTTCCTGCAATGTTTTTTCACCCTGTGGTCTCCCATCCCAGGGAGAGATACACCTCTGCCTTTTCAAATGTTTCTTTATTTTCATACTAAAATCCTTACCTAAAGAATAGAGAGAATTCCTTGACATCTTTCATTTTCTTTTCTAGGAGAAAAATCAGACTGTACTTAGAGCATCATTTGCAGTTACTTGGCTATAGAAGAAACACAAAAATTGCACAATGAATGCAGGTGACAGTAAAATTGTCCCCATTCTCCCTACTTAGTGGAAATGAGATCCTTAGCCCTTGTGTCTCTTGATAGTAGCTCCCCTGCAGAACTGTTGTGGCAACCTGCTTTCTATGATTACAACTTGAGAGCTAACATTCTCCTCAACTCTTTAGAGCCCTATCAAAAGGCCCTGACAACCCTTATCACTTTGTCTTGCTGGTTCTTTCCCTTCCTTCACTAACCTCTTATTTTGTCTTACCAATACGGTTTTCTCTTTCTGTCTTACAAAGACTTACCAACTCCCTCCTTGAATTCTTTCTCATCCTCCTCCTTCTCAGGTCCTTCACCTTCACCTTCCTTCTGCTCGTCCATCAGATTGAATCCCCTTCCAGATTAAGACCTTCTACTTCAGTTTCTCCTCAAATTTTCTCAAATTCAATCTCTGATCTTCTCTACAAAGCCAAATCACCCACAGAATTCCTTTCTTTTCTTATTTAGCTCAAGCCAGCCATTTTCCCTCCTCTGTCCTTTTTCCTATACAAATGTCTTCCTTAGCACACTAGGAGCTGATTTTAAAATCCCATTTTCTGTCTTCTATAAATAATGGATTAAAAGAAGTTATAGAAACCTTAACAGATCTTTTTTTTTTGTTTTTCATCGATTTGTTGTCATTCCATTTCCAGCCTTAAATCCTCTTGGAATGATCCTTTGCCAAGTTGTCTTTGTCTTTTTCCCCCTTCTTTGCTCATTGCTGTTTCATAAGATGATGCTTTTAATTCTCCACCAACCTCTTCCTTAAGATTTTACCAAACCAGTCAATCAGTCAACAAGCATTATTAACTTTTGCTATGTACCATGAATGGTGGTACTAAGAAAGGCAAAATACATGGCAAAATACTGCCCTCAAGGAACTCACATTCTAATGGAAGAGATAATAAGCAAACAACTCTATTCACACATGCACACACTACATATACATACACATATATACATTGCATATAAATGGAGAGAGAGAGAGAGAGAGAGAGAGAGAGAGAGAGAGAGAGAGAGAGAGAGAGAATTGAAAGTAATCTCAGAGAGAAGGAACAAGCAAGGGGTAGAACTGGGAGTGGGGAAGAGACTGGGAAAGACAGGGTTGCCGTGGCAGTTACATCACTGTACTTGATAGAGGTCAAAATATACCAGTTAAGGTAGTTTCTAGGTTCTTTTAGACTTTTTGGTGTACCAATTGACACTTCAATTAAACTTCATTTATATGTCACAGGATTGTTTTGATGTAGCTTGGCATAGTGAATAGAACACTAGAGTTAGGAAGATCTGAGTTCAAATTCTGCAACTGACATTTATTAACTGTATGTTTAAGACCCTAGGTAAGTTATATAATCTCTCTGTGCCTCTGGTAACTAAGACACATCAACTAAGTCTACAAGTAAGTGGAATTTCTACTCCCAAAAAATATCACAGAGCTTTCTAAACCAATTTACAAAATTATTATGGGCATTGATGATATCTGTTCATTTTTGTTTTTCAATTTTGCTTTGTTTGAATAGATCAGGTTGAAGTTGCCTCAATTGCATATGGTATCACCTCATTTTTCTGCTTTTTTCTATTTTGGGAGTAATTTTTTTTTCTGGTGAGGCAATTGGGGTTTAGTGACTCATTGAAGGTGCCAAATAATAAAATACATATTGATTTAATTTGGAAAGCTATATCAACTTCTTTGCAAAATTTCTCTACCTCCATCATCTGCAAGAAAATTTGATAAATAAGCTATAATTATCTTCATGGTGGTCATTTTCAAGTGCCTGCGATGCAATATGAAATGACTATCTCATTGGATTATGTTTCATATTGCCTTAATACATTCTCTGCCAATTCATTTATTTGTGGCTCAAAAGAGACCTTATGAACAATCTTTGCAATTAGTTACAACTTCCTTTTGTCTTCTAGTTTCATTCAGTATAAGAACATCAAGGTTGATATGATTTGGTTCCTCCAAGAATATACACACCTATTGATTATTGGACAAGATCTCACATTTAAAGTAATGATTCAATTAATGCCTTAGATGATCTAAAAACTGTGATTTTTAGTACTCTCTGTCTTCTGTATATCTCTGCCACCTCTACTGAGGGAGACAGGACTAAGCACTATTTTGTAGGTTTCTTCTTTTCATGTTGCCATGACTTAAATAATTCATCACCACATAACCAGACTAATGCAGATTAACCTCTCTGTATTCAGCTGAGCTAGCCCTTAAAAAACAGGTTGTACTGGAAATATTTCCAGCATTGTATACCCCATCATAGCCTGTTCTAACTAGCATACCCTGGGAAGATCTGGGTCATCTCAATGCCAGGATAAAACTTTCGAGTAGCATTTTGTGGATGTGAAAGAGCATGCCCTTAAAAAACATCCAACACGAAAAGAAGTGCGACCCTTGTTGATTGGAAAAGAATATATTAAAATTCATTGCTCACTTTCTACAGAACTCAGATTTTTAAAAACATGTTTCCAACTAAGAGAAATTACAATATTTTGACAAAGTGAGATGATTAGTACTTGAAATCTGATTATTTAAATTTTATCACGAAGTTCTGATTCATTAACATTAGCTATAGTGTAAGATACTTCAGGTGTCAAATAAGCTGTCTGATGCACAGTTACATAAAGAAGAAACAGACAACTTACGGTAAAACATTATTTAAATGTACATTACAAACATTTGATTAAATGTTCGTAACATACATTTAAATGTATATGAGCCCTATGAATA